TTTGTTATCTCAAGAACCAATACCATTCCCTCACAACTTTAACTGTCATGTTTTTCATTTTACTGAGCCCTAACCTAACAGCATTCCTTCACATACCAATAAGAAACAGACTTGCACGTTTTATAGAGTCCTCAACCTAAACCATATGTGTAAGCCTTAAATACTCAACTGCAATCCTAAGTAGTAGGTTTTCGTCAGTCAGAACTTCTGCATCCTTAATTTCTTGAAGAAAAACTGCACTGTGTGATTTTAATAATCAAACATATCAGCATTTTAAGTAGTCTCTGCAGGAAAATTCTGCTTTACTGGAAGGTGTCACCTTAATGTGTAAAACTGCAAGAAACAGCAGTTCCTCTGTGCAGATGTAAAAAGAGGGACTTACTGTTTGGTTTTGATGGGACCTCTCTCATCAATAGGTTCCCCGATGACATTCATGATTCTGCCCAAAGTCTCAGGACCAACAGGAATTTTGATTGGTGCACCCGAATCGAGGACTTTCTGGCCTCTAACCAAGCCTTCTGTACCGTCCATAGCAATGGTCCTTACTGTGCTCTCCCCTGTTAGATAAAGGCATTATAGGGTTATACATAAGGACAGGTTATTATCATATTTAGTGAAGGGTAGCTGCTGTGAAATACCTAAGTCAACCAAGACTCCTTCTCAGTACCTAAATGTGGCTTCAGCAAATTCAGAAGAACGAAAGTCATTTTGAAAAAATCATCATAGAAAGGAGACAACTTGGTTTTTGGGATATTTGGGCTAAGTAAGGTCTTTACCTATTTCTAACAAATTCTACTTACCCAAATGCTGGGCCACCTCCAAAACCAGCCTCGTCTCTCTGCCTTGCACTTCCAGAGCATTTAGGATGGGTGGTAGCCCCTCATCAAACTGGACGTCCACCACTGCACCAATGACTGCCACGATGCGCCCAGTGGTGGCGCCTGCCTTCGGCGAAGGAGATGCTTGCGCGGCATAGTCTCGGGCTAACAGACAAAAAGGTATTGGAAGGAGCTGGGGTCAGGACAGTTAAAGGTCATCGGAAGCCAGGACATGCAAGGAAAGGCGAATTCAGCCCAGGTCCTGCCTCCTCCCGCTAGTATGGAAGGCGTGTCCAAGACACGGGCGCAAAGCAATCTACAAAGCACCTGCACAGCCTTCCCAGCCTCAAACACAAAACCCGTTTATTCGAGAGCTCGTACCCCCATACCATAGGAAGGTCAACGTACCTGCTCGGACCTTTTCCGTCAAACAAAGCTTTTATCCAAAATAGGCCAGAACTAGGTCGAAGAAAACTCCCATGGACAGCCCGTTCCCGTTCTCCCCCAGCTAGAGGGAGGGACCTTGCTCCCGAAACCTTCCTAGCACCACCCATCCTTTAGGCCTGAGCTACGATCGGCCGCCGGCTCAAGGTCATGGGGCGGCAGAAAAGAACTGAAAGCCTAGGTGAAAGAACTTACCAGGTTGGACCACTGCCGGCGCTGCCCGCAATAACAGCTGAGCTTGGGGTATCGACGCTGAAGGGCTGAGTCCCCGCAAGGCCCCAGAGGCTGAGGAGGCCGCCACACGACCCACAAGACTCAACATGGCGGAGTCCGGGTGGAGACTGAGTTCTGCAATGATCCCCGCCGCCGGCTACCCCGCAGTTGGGGCGAGTCCTACTCTGTTGTAGGCACGTCCATTGGGTAACTGTGCTGTTCATCATTCTCCATGCTGCTTCTATAGGTTAATAAACTCATATCTTCTCAACTATTGGTCAAAACTGATGCTAATCTGAAACTCCTTTTTTCATTGGACAGTGGAACACTCCGAGCCTGGAAATCTAATTGGATCGTAGGAATGTCAATTGGAGCCAGAACTTGGCGGAACTACGTTTAAGAAAGGGGCCCAAGTTCCTGTTGGGAAACACGTGGGATGTCTTTGCCTGTCCTTGGGCTCTCTCCTTAGGTAGGACCTTGAGTTGGGTGGCAGTCTCTGGCGTTAGGGTTAGCAAAATGGTAGCCTCGTTAAGTACCATTGAGGGTGACCCTGACGAAGTCAGCAGCCCTCTCTAGAGTCAAACATAGTTTTTCCGCCAGGCGCGGTGGCTCACGCCTGTAATCCTAGCACTGTGGGAGGCCGAGGCGGGTGGATTGCTCAAGGTCAGGAGTTCAAAACCAGCCTGAGCAAGAGAGGGTCCGTCTCTAACAAAAATAGAAAGAAATTAATTGGCCAATTAAAATATATAGAGAAAAAATTAGCCGGGCATGGTGTCTCATGCCTGTAGTCCCAGATACTCGAGAAGCTGTGGCAGAAGGATAACTTGAGCCCAGGAGTTTGAGGTTGCTGTAAGCTAGGCTAACGCCTTAGCACTCTAGCCTGAGCAACACAGTGAGACTCTTGTCTCAAAAAACAAACACTTGTCTTTCGCAGTAGCAGTAGTGAGATTGAAAACTCCCAGTTGGCTCAGCAGATAAGGAACCCTGACAGAATCTTTACCAAATGTATACAATGAAGGAAACGAATGCAACCAGTCATTTAGCAGATGTATGCCAGCTATTGAGGAGACAAAGATAAGCCTCAGGTCTTTACTAGTAAGGTCCAGATCAGGTGTCCTCAAACTACGGCCCACAGGCCACTTGCGGGTGTTTTTGCCCATTTGTTTTTTTACTTCAAAATAAGATATGTGTTCAAACTTCTTAAACAGGGGGAAAAAAAAACATGGTGTCACCTGAGCTCATAGCAACCTCAAACTCCTGGCTCAAGCAATCCTACTACCTCAACCTCAGTAGCTGGGTACAGCATGTGCCACCTTGCCTGGCTCAGTTTTCTATGTTTTAGTTGTCCAGCTAATTTCTATTGTTAGTAGAGACAGGTCTGTTTTTTGTTGTTTTTTTTGAGACAGAGTCTCACTTGTTGCCGCAGGCTAGAGTGAGTGCCGTGGCATCAGCCTAGCTCACAGCAACCCCGTCAACCCCTGGCTCAAGCGATCGGTCTGCCTCAGGCTCACAAGTAGCTGGGACTAACAGGGAATGCAATCACCGATGCCCATCTAGTTGTTTGCTAA